CTGATGGAGGCTGTTAATCAAAGTGAGAGAGAGAAGGTTGAGGGAGAGAGGAAGAGAAGGAAGAAGAAGGAGAAGAAGAGGAGGAGGGGGAGGGGAGAAGAAAGGAAGAAGAAGGAGAAGAGGAAAAAGAGGAAGAAGAGAAGAAGAAGGAGGGGGGAGGGGAAGGGAGAAGAAAAGAAGAAGGAGAAGAGGAAGAAGAGGAAGAGGAAGAAGAGAAGGAGAAGAAGGAGGGGGGAGGGGAGGGCGAGGATAAGAGGGGAGGGGAAGGGAAGAACAAGAAAAGGAGGAAGAGAAGAGAAAAGAGAAGAGAGAAGAGCAGATAGCATTAGAGAGAAACAGAGTGCCAAATGCTTTTGAGGTCCTGGTCCAATTCCACTGCCAGGCTCGGCTGAATCCTTGTACTTGGGTTCCAAGAGATGTCTTTTATTTCTATAACAATTTCCCCTCATTCACAGAAGCTAGCTCAAGTTCTTTTCTGACATTTTCAACCAAAAGATACCTCCCACCAATAAAAATATGGACACTGAGAATTCAGAAGGATACAGATTTGCCTGTTAGTGAGAGAACAGACAACAAGGGCCATGGCCTTTACTACTCCCTCACTCCTGAAAAGAAATTATTCTGGCTGCAGATAACAGAATAGAACTAGTAAAAGCTTAAAAAACAAAGGTATTTTGTTATTGAACTAAACTAGGAGAGGGGAGGCAGGCCACTGACAGGTTTTTTGCAAGCCCCAGTAGTGTCACCAAGCACCTAGCCATCCTCAGCTTACTGGTTTTCTATCTTTATGTTTTTGGTCATAAAAGGCTACCACATAGCTGGGCATCTTGAGCAAAATCCAGTGGCAAACCCAAAGGGACTATGCTTGCCTCCATTGTGTGACAGGTCTGATACCATTTTCCTGGCCCACCATCAGCCTCCTTCAGGGCCCATCCTGTAAGCAGCCGTGATATTAAGAGAAGAGTCCATGATGGAGGTGAAAGTCTGGCACTGGAATCTAAGCCCTTGTTTTTTCTTCTCACTGTTTTATGTTGGAAGAGTCACTGAAGCTTTCTGTCTCAATTTCCTCATTTTTTTTTTTTTTTTTGCGGTACACGGGCCTCTCACTGTTGTGGCCTCTCCTGTTGCGGAGCACAGGCTCCGGACGCGCAGGCTCAGCGGCCATGGCTCACGGGCCCAGCCGCTCCGCGGCATGTGGGATCCTCCCGGACCGGGGCACGAACCCACGTCCCCTGCATCGGCAGGCGGACTCCCAGCCACTGCGCCACCAGGGAAGCCCACCTCATATGTTTTTTAAAAAAGGAAAATCGTTATCCTCGATGGTTGTGAAAAGTAAATGACATAATATATATAACTGTGCCTAGTTTAATGCCTTGGAATTGACACGTTTCTCAAAGAATGAGACTTTCCTTCCTTCTTCCTTCCAGCCTCCTAGGTCTCCTAGGGGAGAAAGTACAAGAGCCAGCTCAGAAAAAGCATGGGCTTTGGAGTCAGACAGATTTTATTTCAAATCCTGGCTCTGCCATTTATTAGCTATCTGGCTTTGATAAATTACTTCAGCTTGCTCACTGGCAAATATTTACTGGGCACCTACTATGTGCCAAGCGCTGTTCTGCCTGCTGAGGATACAGGAATGAATTAGAAAGACATACTCCCTGCTCTTTAAAGCTTATATTCTAGTTTGCTTATTTATTAAGACTAATAATACATTACATTCTATTATTGCCGTAAGGATTAAACAAAACAATTCATGCAGAATACGTGTGAATAGCAGATGCTCTCTAAATGTGAATTCTCGTCCCTCCTTCCCTTTCTTAGGCTCTATTGGATGCTGGAAAAAGTATTGGCTTGGCTGTTAGAATGCTGGCATTCTAATCCTAGCCCTGCAGTTGACTAGTTAAGTGTGTGATCTTAGGCAAAGACTTTAACCTTTCTGGGTCTCAATTCCTCCTCTATAAAATAAGAGGGTTGTTTGAAATAATTTTTAAGACTCCTTTTGTTTGGTTGAGGTTCTGTATTTCTCAAAAGCAATCATTCACCTTGATATATTGTGGCAGAATGGGTATATTAGACTATGTGATGATTTAAAGACAAATTTATAACTAACATTCATCAGGGACTCACTAGGTCCAAGCATTGTGCTGTATCCCTGTTTTCTGCTTTAATCCCATGACAACTGTATAAGGCAGGTATTACAATCTTCAGTTTATATGAGGAAATGGAGCCTCAGAGAAGTACATTTGGTCAAAGTCACTCAGTGAGTCAGAGGCAAAAGTGCCATTGATACCCACACCTGTCTGACTCTAAAAGCCATTAGCTTTGTCCTTTACTGCTACTGTGTGGCCACTGAGAACTTGTTATAAGACTAATTGAACAGAGTTAGTGACTCTATAAATGAATCAGGATGTCATGTCGGGAATGAGTGCCTCCTGCATGGTTCATCCACGGGAAGACACAGATATAAGTCTGGGCCCCTTCTGCATCCCAGGTCCTATCCCTGGCTTCCCCTACAGCTGCCTCTCCCTGCCTCCATCTCTGCGGATGGGTCCATGTGATGGCTGGGAAACCAAACATTATTGTTCAGGAATGATGTTTTTCAAATTGGACATCTGCTGCTTATTTGGCTGGGAGTTTGGCAAGTGTTTCAGTTTGTTGTGGTGGTCAGACCTAGAGGAAATAACTAGGTAGTCATGGCAACCAGCATCCCAGGAACACCGCAGTGACGCCAAGGAGAGAGCACTGAATGTAGGGTCCAGATGTCCACTCTGCCATGAATGCTCTGGCCTCAGGTTCCTCAGCAGGGCGTCTGGAACTTCAGTTCTAAAAGTCTTTCAATAGGAGAATGAAATATTTAATTCCATACGGAAAGAGATAGGTCCTGAGATCCAAAGAGCACCTGGACAGGTGGTTCAAAATTCATACGAAGCTGAGAAAGACTAAGGAGGGGTGCAAAAATGCATCTGTGAAGCATCCACTATGTCCCAGGAACTGTGCTATATGTGTTGTACCATCGCCTCAGTTCATCCTCATGATATCCTTTGGACAGAGGAAGAAACTGAGGCTTAGAGAGGTGACATGACTTGCCTAAGATCACACAGCTAGATAGTAAAGGAATCAGAATTTGAACCCTGGTCTAGCTGATCCTAAAGCTTTGCTACAACACCTATACTTATCAGTGATCAGAACCTTTCCTAAGATCGCTTCTGCTAGAAGTGGAACAGGGGCTGAGTGGAAGGTAAGATGGCATCAGTCCTGAAGGCCATGTCACTTGATATTCTCTCCCCTATGTTGCCCAACTTGGTGGGATTCTGCCCTCTGGCGTAGACCTAAACCATTTTAGCATAGGCTGAACATTTTCTCACCCCAATTATTTTAAATCCATGTTCTCTCTACAGTATTTCTGTTGTGCCCTAGGCAGTTTGCAGTTGAGTCTGAGCCCAACTCTCTCTCTTTCTTTGCCTTATAGAAAAAAAAAATGACAGAATGTGCAAGATGCTCTCCAATTCCTGAATCATGGATCACCCCTCTGACTCAGAAGTTGGATTGCTTGTTACCTTATACATCTTTGAAAATTCCTGTTTCCCTTACCAGGTTCAGAAAAATCCCACTCTTCAGTGATTTTTCTTCCTTTTTCCAGCTTCCTCTAATTTTTTTAGAGTTTCATGATATTATTATAAACCCTTTACTTGGTGAGGGAAGGTTATCTGGCACTCATGCCTCGTAGGCTCGAGGAACAGATGAAAATTCTGATATTCCTGAAAAGTGGAATCAGAGGACCTGCCTTTGAGTCCCCTTTCTGCCACCAACTAGCCCGTAACTCTGAAGAAGTCAGTGGACATTTTTCCATGTGCCAAATGAGAAGTCAGACAAACTCCAACTGAAGGTGTCTTTCAGTGCTAAGATGTGGTAATACAAGTCATCCTTCTAGTAAACAAAATTTCAATTCCCACTTGAAAGTTAAGATTGTTCAACCTGCTCCTCACTTCAGAATGGACAGGGTTACCTTTAAGATGGATGCAAATTCAATCTCCTCACCTTGAGCTTTGGATTTTTCTACTTCACATTCTCTCTGAGTTCTGAGGAGGTAATCGATGAGTTTTTAAGAGAGCTGTCTTTCTCTCTCCTGATGGGTAGAACACTGAATGAAGGGCAAATAGAGATGGTGGTGGTGCCAGGGAAGGAAGTAAACAAGTTAAATGATACCTTCAAAGAATTGAAGGCAAGGGTTGCCTGGGTCAGGCTGCCCTCACTATTACCATATTTCACTGTGCTTTGGCCACAGTGGATGATGGTGTAATAGAAAGGGCATAGCCTGTGGATCTGGTTCTGTCACTCACACCATCTATAAAAATTAACTTGAAATGAATCAAACACCTAAATATAAGGGCTAAAATGATAAAACTCTTATACGAAAGCATAGGTGTAAATCTTTGTGATCTTGAATTAAGCAACTGTTTCTTAGATATGACACCAAAACTACAAGCAACAAAAGAAAAAAAAATGGATAACTTGGACTTCATCAGAATCAAAATCTTTGGTGCTTCGAAGGACACCATCCGGAAAGGGAAAAGACAACCCACAGAATGGGAGAAAATATTTACAAATTATGTATCTGATAAGACACATATCTTGAAAATATAAAGAACTTTTACATCTCAATAAAAAAAGACAAACAACCCAATTAAAAATGGACAAATGATCTGAATACATATTTCTCTAAGTAGTCCCCCCTTATCCACTGGGAATAAGTTCCAAGACCCACAATGGATGCCTGAAATCGCAGATGGTACTGAACCCTATATATACTATGTTTTTTCCTACACATGTATAGCTATGATAAAGTTTAATTTATAAATTAGGCACAGTAAGAAATTAACAACATTAATTAATAATAAAATAGAACAGTTATAAGAATATACTGTAATAAAATTTATGTGAATGTGGTCTCTCTCTCTCTCTCTCTCTCTGGCTCCCCCTAAAAATTATTATACTGTACTCACCCTTCTTCTTCCTGTGATGATGTGAGATGATAAAATGTCTACATGATAAGATGAAGTGAGGTGAATGATATAGGCATCCTGACGTAGTGTTATGCTCCTGTTGACCTTCTGATGATACATCAGAAGGAGAATCATTGGCTTCAGGTGGTCCTGGATCGTTGAGCCATGATGATGTTGATGCTTGGATGTCAGGAGCAGATGACATGGAAGCTTGTGGGGTCCTGGGTGAGACGGAATGGGACTGCAGGAGATTTCATCATGTTACTCAGAACAATGCACAATTTAAAATTTATGAATTGCTTATTTCTGGAATTGTCCATTTAATACTTTCAGATCATGGTTGACTGTCGGTAACAGAAACCGCAGAAAGTGAAAATGAGGATAAGAGGGGACTACCATACAAATGGCCAATGAGCACATGAAAAAATGCTCAACATCCTTGGCAATCAAGGAAATGCTAATAAAAAGAACAAGGACAGAATTATTATTAGGGCAGTCAAAATACTCTGTATAATACTATAAGGATAGATATATATCATTACACATTTGTCTAAACTCAGAGACTATACAACACCAAGAATGAATTGTAATGTAAACTGGACTTTGGGTGATTATTGTGTCAATATAGGTTCATCAATTGTAACAAATGTACGATTCTGGTGGAGGAGGCTAATAATAGCAGATGTTATACATGCACGGGGGCAGGTATTACATGGGAAATTATACGTTCCTCTCAATTTTGAGAACATAAAACTGCTCTAAAAATAAAGTCCTTAAAAAATTAAAATAAATAAATAGAAATAATAAAAAGTGTTGGGGAAGATGTGGAGAAATTAGAATCCTTATACGCTGCTGGTGGGAATGTAAAATGGTGCAGCCACTTTGGAAACCAGTCTGGCAGCTTCTTAAAAGGTTAAGTGTAGAGTTACCATATGATCCAGAAATGCCTCTCCTAGGTATACACCCAAGAGAAATGAAAATATATGTCCACTTGTATATGAATGTTCTTGTACACAAATGTTCATAGTAGCAATTTTCATAATGGCCAAAAAGTGGAACTCAATGTCCATCAACTGCTGATGGGATATGTAAAATGTAGTATATCCGTACAATGGGGTATTATCTGGCAATATAAAGAAATGAAGGGCTGATAGATTCTACAAGATGGCTGAACCTAGAAAACATGATGCTAAGTGAAAGAAACCAGTCACAAAAGACTACATATTGTATGATTCCATTTATATAAAATATCCATAACAGGAAAATCTATAGTGACAGAAAGTAGATTAGTGGTTGCTTAGGGCTGGGGGAAGAGAGATGCAGGAACAGGGGGTGATAGCTAAAGAGTATGGAATTTCTTGTTGGGGTGATGAAATGTTCTAAAATCGACTGTGGTGATGGTTGCACAACTCTATGAACTACAAACCATTGCGTTACACACTTTAAATACGTGAACTGTATGGCATGTTAGTTATATCTCGGTAAAGTTGTTACTCAAAAAAGTAATAACCTAGGTTGGAGTTGTTGGTGGCGAGTAAGTGAGGGAATAGGGGAAACAAAGTTGATTGGCTAGGATTTGATCATGTTGAGGCTGGTTAATAGGTACATGCAGGTTCATTATATTATTTTCCCTACTTTGCTATATGTATAAAATTTTCTATAATAAAAATAAATTTAAATAAGTAAATAAAACAGCAAGACATAATAGGCTGGCAATAAATGCAACTATTACTATTATTATTATATCCTAGAGCCAAGCACTGAATTTAAGAATTTAAGCATATACCCCTAAATAACCCATTATACCTCCCACAGCTTTCCTTTAACTTGCTTAAACTCCTTTAGCAGGAGTTAGCTCTTTTCACCATGGCCCCAGAGGAGCAGGAGAACAACTGGTCACAGACATGAAGACAGCACGTAACCCCTGATTTGCCCCCTTCTTTATCTCCCCATGGCTAATCAGTTACCCGCTCTTACCAATTTTCCTCCCAAATGACTCTTATCTTCAGCCACTCTTGTTACCCATGCCACCTACCTAGACCAAGCCCTTGGCAAATTCTACCTAGGCTACAGCAACAACTCAGCTTCTCTCACAGACTTTCATCATTCCCTCTCCTGAGTCTAGTGCCCATCTTTCCTACACACCACCAGCAGACTCTTCCCATGAATGTCCTTACTTATTCCTTTCCCCTGCTCAAAGATTAACAGGCTCTGCATTGCTTATGGCATAAACTCTTAATTTTTCTATCTGGATTCCTAACATCTGATGCCATCCTGTGAATCCAAACTTATCTCTATTTCAAAATTTGTCCCTATTGCTTTGATTTAGCACTTCCATCCACTGTGTCCTTTCAGGCATCCATGTGCTTCAAGGGAGGTAAATCTGAAATAGTCTTATCCAATCATGTTATTCCATTTTTCTTCCCAGTGACTGGTTTGGGAATGAGCATGTGATGAAATTCTGAGCAGTAATCCAGGAGAGGAGGTCTTTTGGGGAAAGTACATCTTGGGGGAAAAAAAGTATTACTCATAAAAAGACATGGAGGAAGAGACAGGCCCTTTCCATCTGCCTCCAGCCCTAGACATCTAGGCATTGAGGAACAAAATGTGATGCCTGGAATTGCTGCAGTCCTCTTGTGACCATGAAGAGAAGGCCAAGAGAATGAGAGATGCTGTTGAGCTGGAGACATAAACCCACTGAGCTGCTGAATTAAACCAAACCTGGAACTGAGCTACTTCTGCACATCTTATTACATGAAATAATAGATGTCCTTACGGTGCAACGCAGTTTTACTTCAAATCCTAAATCTTCATGAACCACCTCAATATAGAGTCTCCCTGACTCTGGTTTAGGAGACAGCAAGACTCTGATTTCTAAGCCTCTTCCTGTGACTTATTAGCTCCTTGAATTTGACAAGTTACTCACTTTTTCTAGTCCAGTGCTTCTCATATGTTAGCCTGCATCAGAATCACCAGGGGGGCCTGTTAAAACACAGATTCCTGAACACGACCCTCAGGGATTTATTTTCAGGAGGTTTGTGAAGGAGCTGGAGAATTTACATTTCTAACAAGTTCCCAGGTAATGCTGTGGCTCAGAGGACCACACTTTGAGTAAGAGTGTCCTAGGCCTAAGTTTCTTTGTCCACAAAACAGACATGAGAGCATTCCCTAGTAGGTTTTATGAGGATTAAACATGATATTACAGATACAGTGCTTGGCCCAGTGTCTGGCACAGAAGTAGAGCTCAGAGATGGTAGTTATTAATGTTAACTTGGGAAAATATTAATCCTGCAGCTGAGGGCTCAGTTTGTGCAAATTCCAGGCTCAGAACCATTTCTCTGGAGCTCTGGAGCCTTACATAGCAGGCTTTCCCAGACAAAAGAGCCAAAAGAAACCTGTTGACTGGGGATATTAACTAGGTGGCTGTGGGAGAATGACATGAGTGATTTGCTGGAATGATTAGAAATCATCCGAAGTATGGCTAGGTTGAGAAGGAGTGGGGAGGAAGAATGGCCTTCACTTATCAGACTCCCATTAAAATGGTTTGTAGTGTGTCCCAGCTTTATCCAAATGATTAAAGAGGTGAGGCCTTGAAGAGGGGTGGGGGAGGGAACCAGACTGGTCTCTGGTTTTCAAAGAGAGAAGGCAATAAAAGATTAGTTATTAAATAAATGAAGTTCAGGAAATGATCCAATGTCTTGGGAGTGTTCAATCTCAGAAGACGAGAAGCTTCTAACCTTGTAGAGTCAAAGAAAATTCAGAGACACACACTACCTCAGGCATGCCATTCTCCTGCAGTTTCCCAGGGTAAGGAAAAATTAAGAAGACTGAGAAATCTGGATTAAAAAGAAATTTTCCATGAATTCTTTTCCTAAAATTTCCAATAGATCTTACTTTGTTTTACTTCCCAGCAGTAAAGAAAGGTTTCTATCGCTGTTGTTGCTGGTATGTGGCATAAACACAGCCACTTATTGAGTCCTTAATATGTGCCAACATGATGCTAACATTTACCTGCATTATTTCATTTAATGTCATTTAAATGTCATTTAAAGTCATCTTCTGACTTTGCTGTGAATTTTCATGTATGTACGAACCCTAGAGAGCCGGAATGACTATGTCAGAGATCTTTCTTCTTTTTTGTCCCTATTTCCTTTTAATGAGTCCTCACCACCTACAACTTGCAAAAGGTCAGACATTACTATCTCGATATTAGAGATGAGGAAATTGAGTCAACAGAAATGTTAAAAGCATTTTCTACCACACAACCACACGGCTTTAGCCAGTGTTCTTTCTGATTTTAAAGCCCGCACTCTTTATAAGTCTTTACCTTGAGTTGGCCTGAGATCTGATCTTGAGAAGAGTCAGAATCTGTCCACAATCAGCTTAAGATCAGACTGATCTCAAGCAAATTGCTTATCTTCTCTGGTGTCTGTTTCCTCTTTTGTAAAATGGAATTTCTGTTAAGTTTGGAGGTAACATGTGTAAAGTGCTGGCTACTGTGCCTATAGCAAAAGGCATCAATAAAAGCAGGTTTTATATATATATGTATATATACACATATATATGAATACATACATATACATACATATATACATAAACTTATAAAAGTGTTACAGTGTTAGCTCTTATGTTTAGATTTGATCCATTTTGGGTTAACTTTTTCTTTTTTTTGAGTTAATTTTTGTATATGGTTTAAGATAAGGATCGAACTTTTTTTCTTTTTTCCACACGAATATCCAGTTTTTTCAAATACCATTTTGTTGAAAAACTATCCTTTCCCCTATTGAATGGTTTGGCATGCTGGCTGAAAATCATTTTACTATATGTGTGAGGGTTTATTTCTGGGTTCTAATTTTGTTCCATTGGTCTATGTATCTATCTTTATGCCAATACCTCACTGTTTTGATTACCAAAGCTTTTCAATAAGTTTTGAAATGAGGAAGTGTGAAACCTCTAACTTTGTTCTTCTTTTTCAAGATTATTTTGGCTATTCTGGGTCCCTTGAGATTTCACATAAATTTTGGAATGTGCTTTTCTATTTCTGAAAAAAAAATCATTGGGATTTTAACAGGAATTGCATTGAATCTATAGATAGCTTTGGGTCATATTAACATCTTAACAATATTAAGTCTTCTTGTCTGTGAACACAGGATGTCTTTTCATTATTTGTGTCTTTAATTTCTTTCAGCAACATTTTGTAATTTTCAGTGTACAGGTCATTTGCTGCCTTGATTAAGTTTA